TTCTTAAAACTCGATCTTGGAACCGCCTCGAATCGCACACGCTTCTGGAGGACCTCGCTGCTCTCTGACGCCTGCCACCGACGATTACTTCTCTAATGTACACGCGCGTCCTTCTAAACGCGCCACGAATTCCCATTGTCGTTATTTTCTCTTTTTACTCGCTCCAGAAAATTACACGCGCGTTCCACTTACACCGTTTATCTCTCGCCGATGCCTCAAACCATACGCGCTCCGATTTTAAAGAATACGCTCGAGGATACCGATAAACAAAACTACGAACAATACTGATTACACATGTACGCAATTGCATTTCCGTCGCGCAAGCGTTAGATGAAGTAATCGTCTTCAACGTTGCGTCATTCTATATTTTTGGTTCGAAGTGTTACTTGGGATTTCACGGACACGGTCAATTCTCCCTAATATTTCTTCGGTTTGCGAACAAAAGCGGATAATTTGAGAGGGGAAGATGCGGTTATTCGAGCCTTGCACCTCGTTTTTATAGTTGTCTATTCTCAACAATTATAAAAACGAGCAAGGTTGGAATTGTCCACTTTTGTTCTGTTACGAGCTGAAGGAAAATTCGGGAGAATTTATTGCAAATACATCGTCGATCCGAGATAATTCTCAAAATAGATAATCGTCGGGTTTTTATAGCGTCAGAAAATGTTGCACCTCACGCGTCTAAAGTGTATTAACCCTTTGCACTCGAAGCCATTTTTAACCGTAAATCTAAAATGAGTTTTCTGACCTACGCTGTCTCTATTGTACATGACAGAGCGCATTTTATCCGTGTGAAATCGAGTCTTGTGACTTATACAGCAGTCATATTTTTAACAATTTTTCAAAACTAAATTATCTTGACCTAAGAATTAATTTGAGATGTGACATAAACATTTTTTAGTAGTGCCTCGGAGTCACCACTCGAGCGCGAAGGGTTAAGAGCCTATACTTCGTACATCACAGTGATAATCTCGAAATTTGCGACGTTAATAGATAAATATTCTTCTCCCGGATTCCGTGCTGTCAGAAAATTCCGCGAGATCTTATTTACGAGATTCAGTAACCAGATCGAATCGCCCGCGAAGAATACATTTTCCCCGCTCGGTTTTTCTTCCATAATGTCGGGAAATTCGAACATCGCGCCGGCAAAACTTTTTCGAGCCGGTTCACCGGATTCCATTGTAACGGCACAAGGTTTATTTGTAGCGGCGCAACGTAAATATATTATCCTCGGTTTCCACGCTGTCAGAAAATCCCAACGACATGCTACATGTATTTACGAAGCTAACCGGGCAGCCAGATTTTACTAGAACCGAGCAGGATTATTTGCAAGAGCGCATGGCAAATGCCGCGTTCCCCGTGTACTCCAGGCTCTCGCAATAAAAGAATCGAACGGCGCTGTGCTTATACGAAATTAGAAGTCATTATTCTCGGTTGTAGTTCCATTATCAGCGGTTCGTAATTCCAGAGGCGGGCGAGAGAGCCGGCCGAGCGCCGCGCCGGTCCGGCTGAAAAATTTATACCGGCCGGTATCCGCGGCTAATTAAGCGACTAATTACCAAACTGTTTGGTCGGGTAACAGCGAACTTCCGCGAGCTTTTTGTGTCCCGGCAGAAGCGCGGGGAGAGCACCGCGAGCGAACGGGACGCGCGTTGGCCGGGCGAAACTAGACCAGTGTGTCGTTAAAATAATCCGAAAAAAATATCACCGTCTCGCTCGGCGCACACTTATGTATACTACGTGTCAGGCGGACGATAAGCGAATCTCTGTTTACACGTAACCAACAGGCGAGCAGATGTACGTGTCGCACGTGTAATTCGTGGACGGGTGTTGGTACACACGTATTTGCCCGGTGCGTCACGTGAACTTGATATTCACCGTTACTATCTGCGCGCACACACAGGTAGCCACGATCACAAGGTGTGCGAAGCCACAACCCGGCGACGAATAAAAATGTACGAGCGACGAACGGGCGCGCGCGCGCGCGACCTAATGCTTCGCGGCCGGCCGGCCGATTATTAAAATAATTTATTCCCGCCGCGGCGGAAGAGAGCGTTATCGACGGACGCTGAATTATCGAGGAATCTCCCACGCGAGACCCGCTAACGAAATTAAGCAAACACGTCTCGCGGGGAAGCCGGCCCGATACGCGAAACTACTACGCTCGCGAAAATATTCGAGACGGAAATCCAGTCTGCCCGGAAAATATCGCCGGGAAATTACTGTCCGCGCCGTAATGCGTACCACTGATTGGTAGCGTTCATTCAGGAACGAACGGCCCTTTCATTCGACAATGGAGTCTTCGACACACCTCGAGCGCACGAACTTTCGACACCCGAATAATATTGGGACAGTTTTCGAAACGAAACAATTTCCTGAAATTTTTGATCGAACCACTGGAATTCTTTCGAAATGTTCGACTAATTTTCTAGGAAATTAGCGGAGAGAATTGTTTGCCAGATTTGCGAATTGGTGGAATTGCGAAATAAGTGTTTTTTTAGGGCTCTTTTACTGGAGCTCTTAATGAAGGTTTGAATGATTGGTTTAAGCTGAAATTTTTGCGAAGATTCCTTTACTCGTTGCTTAATAAACTAGGCTATTAAACAGTATTTAACGAGCTAGTCTATCAATTGTTGTCAAGTTGATCTATCAATGTTTAATGATCGATTAGGTTGGCCCTATAAATCCATTTTGTTCTCAGCCGATATAAATTGAAATGCAACGATACAAGTGCAACGATATAAATGCAACGATATACATATATATAAATTGAAGACACTCTCTCAAGCATACAAGTGCAGTGGACAAACAATTGTACGCTCGGCAATGAACGATGCATCAACAAATACATAATTACGCGATCTCCGCGCTTTCCCATTTTCTAACGAAACGCACGAAACGCGCGTACTATAATAATAAGAACACTCCCGAGACAATAGAAACACACGCAGCCCTATTTATAGCGCGAATCACCGAAGATTCAATCCGTCTCATTACCCGAACCGATCGATTATTTGAACGCTCGTGTATCCCCGATTGGTTCGGGTAATCGAGGTGTGCCGCATCGAATTCCCCGAAATTTTGATCGGCGACTGGCACACCGTACGAGAATAAAATAAGTCGCGGTTCTAAAAACGACTGGCACTTAATCCTCCTGAAGAATGCATCGCGGCCGGGCCAATTTCCGCGCGAATATACTCGAAAGAGGAGGAGGAGGAGGGAGAAGGAGGAGGAGGAGGTTAACAATTTTTCATAGACAGAGAGCGCGTCAAGGAACTCCGGCTCCGTAAATAGCGCCGGGCGTCGTAAAAGCCTGGAGAAAACATTTTTCCGGAGACAATAGTCGCGGCAACGTGTTCGCGGACGGTGCTGCAACGCGTCGGGCGTTCGTTCGGTATGCGTGTGTCGCGCGCGTACGCATTCCGAAAGGTGGCTTCTATACCTGGGAGCAGGGCGACCGTAACGTTTTCCCTCTTCCCTTCCCCACCCTGCCCCCGGCGAGTCGAAAGGAAACCGTCGAAAAGGCTCGCTTTAAGGGCCATAAAACATTTGTTTCCCTCGGCGCGGCGGCGCCCGCCGCAACCCGGGACACCCACCCGGGCTATATTGCGTTCAGCCGCGAACGCGGGATTTTGAATTGAATTTGAAATCAGGGGCTCGATTTTATGGTGGCTGGGTGTCAAACGCCATGGAAGTATCGCGGCACCCGGGGCTTACCGCGGCAAAACTTTCCGGTTTAAGGCCCGCGCGACCCCTCCGCGCTCTCAGACGGGATCGCTATCGGTTTGCTTGTATCGCGAAACTATCCTCTCGTGCACCCCCTCGATTCCCGTTTTCGATTTTCAACTACGACCGACCGAGTCCCGGTCTCGATCGTATCCCGGCCCGGTTCTTATCGCGAGAGGATTCCTCCCGTTCCGCGGTGCCCCCGCCCCTTCGGCCCTCGGCGGACGTTTAAATATTATCGAGCGCGAACAGATGTTTGCGCCGAAAATTAAGGCTGCGTGTTTGCGGCCCCTGGTTATTAATAATTTCCGTTTGCCCGGGAAACGCGAAGAAATTCACCGCTGCGATGGGATCGGTCCGGTCCGACTTGGTACAGTAAATTCTCCCTAATTGACGCTCGGATTGTGCAGAAAAATGGACAATTTGGGAACAGAAGATGCAATTGTTAGAGCTTTGCACCTCGTTGCAAATCGTCGAATCGTTAAGGTTATTATTATTATTATTATCGTTGTTTGGAATTCTAAGAATTATCGACGATGTTAGGTTTAGAGAGAATTATGTATGCATCTTGTTAATGTAAGCGTGTCTCCTTGTATGTACGTGTACTCTATACATACTTTGCTCTAGAAAATATACCACAGAGTCCCCGTTGAGTAATGCAATCACTGGCGAAGATTATCAGATCAAACAGATTAAGAGTTTATCGTCGTAATTGTTCTTATGATTGATGCTGAAATTCTTTTTGATTAATGGTGGATGCAAATGCAGTGACAAAACGCGTCGTACGTGGAGAAAGATGTTAATCGCCTGTACAACGAGAACATTTAACACCGATGCCAAAGTCTCGATCATCCCCAAACGTTGTCGGATATTTTTAGACAGTTCCAAAAATCATTTCAATATTCGGTAAAAAGACGAGAACATTTTTATCATCGCCATACTTTTATCGACACAATACTCTTTCCTATTTTTAATTAGAATCGTTCTGTCAACGGTCGTGTCCCAAAATTAGATAAAATATATTCCACCGGAATATCAGAATTATCAGAAAAATATCAAAATTCTGGCGCCGAAGCGCGAGAATGATAATTATTCGAATAAAAATACGCGTCCAACTCGAGCCGCGGCAGACAACGAGATCAACAAACCCGGCGCTATCTAAGAAATCGACTCCGTCATCGTGCTTTTTCTTTTTAGAAAAAGCAATCGCAACGATCTCGCCGGATGACGAAACCGATGGCAATCTTATCTGGCTCGCGGGATTAATTTCTTACCTGGTCGTTGTCTTGTTGATCCTGGCCGTACGCGGAGGTGTCACCATTAGGGGTGGTGGCGGCGGAGGGTCGCTGCGAGGTCGACAAGTTGATCGCGCCGTCTCCGTCCGTGTCATGATCCATTATGCCATCATCCTGAAATCAGGATGATCGTTACGTCGATCGGGTGCCGCGTGTTCGACAGTGGCGAATCAATGGAAGAGACAGAGAGAGAAGATATTCCTCCGGGGGTCGTCTCAGCTTTGTTACCCGATACATATTCCGGAGGAGAGCAATTTTAGACCGCGTCTGCCGCATGTGGTTCCATGCACTCGACCGGAGAGCAACAATGTGTTCACCTCGTCGCTAATAATATACGCATTACCCTCCCGAAAATAATCGCGGGGGAGAGTGTTCGGTTTCTTTGGATCGATGGACGGATCGATCGATCGATCGATCGCAGGTGCTTACTTCTCGATAGAACCGTGGCCTCCGTGCGACGTGCGGCGAGCTGGCGGCCCAGAACTGCCGTAGACGCGCGAAATCCCACATCGAAGCACGGAAAACAACTTCCGGAGTCATTTACGAACAGTCTCGCGGAACATCCACACCTCGCCGAGTGAAGAAAAGCCGGCGAAAAAAGCTGCAGCAACGGCTAGCACCTCGCCGGAGCACGCGGCCTCGCGGAGCTCGCGCTCCCCGTCGCGACGTCCAGCATCGCGCCGGAAGTCCGAGGATCCTTCGGGGTACCAAAGGTACCCCCCTCGGTCTCGCGAATTCTCTCGCGGGGTTCGTTCAACCTGCGAATGAACGTCGCCGTCGCCGCCGTCGTCGTCGTCGGGCGCGGTGCACGCACTCGCGCACGCACGCACACCCACTCACTCACTCACTCACAAGCACACAAAGGAACTGCACACTCGAAGAGAGATCCGCACACGTGGTGGGCCGGCGGCCGTCGAAACGCGGAACGCGGCGGAAAAAGAAGCCGGGGGAAAAAAGGAAAGGGAGCGCACGCAAAAGGCTCGCTCGGTTTTTCGGTGCACGGGAGGCGCGAAGAGGGGGAGAGGAAACGGTGCGACGGCCTGCAAAGAAGACGAAAAGCAACGTTCTCGCGCGGCGACCGAGTAGCGAGGACTAAACACTAAAAGCGGCACAGGCATACCAAGCAGCCCAACCGGCGAGGCTGTTGCTTATTGTGTAAATATAAACAAATATAGTTGAAACCAACCAACAGGCCTGCTTTCAGCTTTCCCCCCCTCCGCCTCCCCTCACCCCTCTCCCATGTGTTGCCCTGCCCCCTCCCCGGGCTCCGCCAAGCGGCTAACTACGTCTTCCGCGCTCTCGTGCCGGCCTACCTTCTCTCTGTCGGCTGTCTCTCTCTCTCTCTCTCTCTCTCTCTCTCCTACTCTCCTTCTCCCTCTTGCTCTCTCTCTCTCCCTCTCCCTCGCTCTCTCGCTCTCTCGCCCCTCCACACTTATCGCTTCCGCCCCTCCGGCCCCTGGCCGCTGTCTTCAGACTTTTCCCCTCTCGCTCCACCGTAACACCCACCCTTCGTCACGTCCCTGACCCCACCGCCGCCAGGCAAACCAGTACATCATACACGAAGCACGTTTCCACTGTGGCTCGACTGGTTGGCTCGCTCGCTCGCTCGCTCGTTCGACTCGCTTCGACTCGCTTCGACTCGCCCGTCTGTCTCTCGCCTTCTCCTCTGTCTTCTTCACATATGCTCGTCTCCGCTCGAACATTACACATCGTCGCCGGCAGCACCGTTGTTTGGCCAGCGGCTGCGCCAAGATGATCGGCTGCGTTACGCGCCGATGCTAAGCGACTCGATTTTTGCGGATTCACCCCGACGGAGGGAGAGAAGACTAGTAGTGGACAGTTGCGTGCTCGCCCTTAGAGGATCGCCGATACTACTACTCGGCTGCGAACGGATTCCGGAAGCCGAAGAGAGATTGGTCAGCGAACCGCGCGCAGGTGGAGCACGTCACTTTTGTGCCGGCACTTCGAGATACATACTGTACTTCTTCAGGACGTCGTGAGTATTTCCGGCAAGTTCGCCGAGCGATTAACCCCCTGCACTCGAAGCTATTTCAATTCGGAATCCAAAACATGTTTTCCGACCTATATCTTCGTTTTGCGCGAGCTGTTGCCACTTGCGCGCGCGCGGAATTGAATTCGCCTGGACAATGTTCGCGATTTTTAACAGTTGTTTAAGGCAGGGGTGTCAAACTCGAAAGCTGACTTGGGCCAAATAAACGATGCTTAACTTTAAGTGGGCCGCAAAAAAAAAGATCAATGTTCATAGAAACAAATATTTTTATTTTGACTGGTACATTGTAATAAACATATATATAAAGTTAAATTATTGTTTACGTCCTGATACTTGACGTCAAAACTGTTCATCTCGGGCCGCGAGTTTGACACCCCTGGTTTAAGGTGTTAATCGTGGAACCGATTTTGCTGGCTTTGCCGTTGAGGCGACGTCATAGTTAAACCTTGAAGTCCCAAGGGCCTGACGCTTAACGTATTAAATACCAACAAATTTGGTACTGGCGAAGTTAGGTTGTAGAAGCAGAATTGCTTCGACGGCGTAGCAATTTTTAATTACGCCTCGAATGCAAAGGGTTAAGGTACATGATCAATAGTTGGGGCTCGCAGGATCTCGATTCGGGTCAGCTGAAGGAATTTGGAGCGAGTTTGCTGTTTCACAGATTTTCTAAGGGAGGTGGTTGAAGTGTCTCCGACGGGAAGCTGCTCCAGTATTTGGAGGATTCTTGATCTGTGGGAATTCTAGGATGTTCCAAGAAGCTGTAACATATTTGGATCGAGTTCGCGTTTCGCAGGTTTTGGAGCAAAGGAATTCGAACTGCCTCGTGCAGGCTGTAATTCAAGATGTTGAGATTCTTAAGAAATTAAGAGATTATTCCATCTGTAGGAATCGCACAATTTTGCTTGATTGCATATTAAGCAAAATTTGGATTAATCTTCTTAATCCAGTACAGTAAATTATCCCTAATCGACGTTAAGATTGTGCACAAAATTGGACAATTTGGGAATAAGATTCGTGAAGCTTTGACGTTGATGAACGAAAGTTTTGCCGGAGCACCTAGCGGAGCACAATAAACTCTCCCCAATTGTCCTTCGGCTTATAAACAAAAGTGGACAATTTGGGAAAATCGTTGACAATTGGCAGCTGTAAAAACGAGCCGCAAGGCTGGAAATAATCGTAGTTCCTCTTCCCAAATTGTCCATTTTTGTTTCCAAGCTGAACAGAATTAGAATTCGATTAGGCAGAATTTACTGCACTTGCGATTTCAATTTAATTTTTTGAGCGCAACGAAAACAGTTTTTCCAACATTGTGATCGAATTTTCCAGATATTTCGCAGCTTTTACAGTAGACCAGCGTGGAAATACTCGTGCAGAGATTCTTAAAAGTCTATTACCCAATGTTTTCGTACGATTTCCGTTCAGTTTTCAAAAGGTGNAATTCGGAATCCAAAACATGTTTTCCGACCTATATCTTCGTTTTGCGCGAGCTGTTGCCACTTGCGCGCGCGCGGAATTGAATTCGCCTGGACAATGTTCGCGATTTTTAACAGTTGTTTAAGGCAGGGGTGTCAAACTCGAAAGCTGACTTGGGCCAAATAAACGATGCTTAACTTTAAGTGGGCCGCAAAAAAAAAGATCAATGTTCATAGAAACAAATATTTTTATTTTGACTGGTACATTGTAATAAACATATATATAAAGTTAAATTATTGTTTACGTCCTGATACTTGACGTCAAAACTGTTCATCTCGGGCCGCGAGTTTGACACCCCTGGTTTAAGGTGTTAATCGTGGAACCGATTTTGCTGGCTTTGCCGTTGAGGCGACGTCATAGTTAAACCTTGAAGTCCCAAGGGCCTGACGCTTAACGTATTAAATACCAACAAATTTGGTACTGGCGAAGTTAGGTTGTAGAAGCAGAATTGCTTCGACGGCGTAGCAATTTTTAATTACGCCTCGAATGCAAAGGGTTAAGGTACATGATCAATAGTTGGGGCTCGCAGGATCTCGATTCGGGTCAGCTGAAGGAATTTGGAGCGAGTTTGCTGTTTCACAGATTTTCTAAGGGAGGTGGTTGAAGTGTCTCCGACGGGAAGCTGCTCCAGTATTTGGAGGATTCTTGATCTGTGGGAATTCTAGGATGTTCCAAGAAGCTGTAACATATTTGGATCGAGTTCGCGTTTCGCAGGTTTTGGAGCAAAGGAATTCGAACTGCCTCGTGCAGGCTGTAATTCAAGATGTTGAGATTCTTAAGAAATTAAGAGATTATTCCATCTGTAGGAATCGCACAATTTTGCTTGATTGCATATTAAGCAAAATTTGGATTAATCTTCTTAATCCAGTACAGTAAATTATCCCTAATCGACGTTAAGATTGTGCACAAAATTGGACAATTTGGGAATAAGATTCGTGAAGCTTTGACGTTGATGAACGAAAGTTTTGCCGGAGCACCTAGCGGAGCACAATAAACTCTCCCCAATTGTCCTTCGGCTTATAAACAAAAGTGGACAATTTGGGAAAATCGTTGACAATTGGCAGCTGTAAAAACGAGCCGCAAGGCTGGAAATAATCGTAGTTCCTCTTCCCAAATTGTCCATTTTTGTTTCCAAGCTGAACAGAATTAGAATTCGATTAGGCAGAATTTACTGCACTTGCGATTTCAATTTAATTTTTTGAGCGCAACGAAAACAGTTTTTCCAACATTGTGATCGAATTTTCCAGATATTTCGCAGCTTTTACAGTAGACCAGCGTGGAAATACTCGTGCAGAGATTCTTAAAAGTCTATTACCCAATGTTTTCGTACGATTTCCGTTCAGTTTTCAAAAGGTGACAGAAAGAGGGGGTGGTTTCCCCGGAGACAGGTGTAGCGACCGCGAAAACCGGACGAAAATTGATCGACGCAGCGGCGAACGATTAGAGCAGCCGAGATCAAAGCGTATTTACGGAAATCCGTGGCTCGCGGAATATCAAAGATTTTCTGGTAGCCGGAGACTGTTCAATCAACGCGACTGTCAGTAAATTATGAATATTCCTTTCCCTCGGCGGACTGGGCGGTACACAAACGCTAGGAGGTTCGCCTCCACGCACACAGGGTCGATCCGTA